ATTGAACCAAACTAATCCATAAATAGCATTTAATGCACTGAATATTAAATCAGGAAATACAATTTTTTATAAAATCAACAATAAAAATTGGCATCCATTTGAGGTGTCTGAAAATGCCTCTACGTATGGCATTTATAAAAACCGGAAAACACATTTCTTCAGGCTCGGGCACTTCTTACCTGAGTTGAAAAGCTAATCTGATTCTCAGGTTTGCTTTCCCATCTTCCTGCCCTTTTCCCCACACCCTCAGCTTTAAGGCAGATCCCGTGGGCTGCTACTCTTGGCTCATTTTCCTGAGCTCCCAAATGAACAAACCAGCAGACAAGCAATTGCAAAGACCCCAAGATGTAAGGACAAAGCAGATAAAAGTACACATGGTGATTATCCTTGCTCAGTAATTTGGCTGCCAGAAGCTGCCTGCCACATGAAAGATAGATGGCAGCAGCCTTTCTGTGGGAGAACTTCTTGACCCAGGGGCAGCTCCAAGTCTCTACCTCCTGCCGGACTAGCTGCTCCTCCTCATGGCCTGGAGTGGCCATTCTTCTTTTTGTAGTTGCCCAAAGAAACCACATGATAGAGAGTGGGGGCATTGACCAACTCTTTGGGATACAAGTTTGTCTCCCTTTCCACCTCTCCTCTACTTCTTTCCTGAACTGATTAATTTGGTTTTAATCTACCTTATTTATGTGTTCATTCATTCAGCAGGTGCTGTTCTTTAGAAGGACATTGGGAATGCAGTGGTGAATGAAATAGACAAGATGCCTCCCTTCACATAGTAATAGTAATTTAAACAGGCTAGTAGGCTAGAGCAGGTAGGTGGGCAACTTTCAAGAAGGCAGACATGGAAGGTTTGATCAAAGGGAAGAGGCAGACTTGTGTTGTGAATATTGGCAAGGTGTTTAGGGGCCAGCAAATAAGGGGCCACAAGAAGAGTTGTAAGGGTCACTATAACAGGTGAGGTAGGAGAGGCAGCTATGGGCCACAATAGGCAAGACCAGTGTAGGTCACCATAAGGAGTTTGGATTTCTTTCTACATGCAATGGAGAGCCACTGGAGGGTGCCAAGCAGGCGAGTGATGCAAACTGATTCATATCCTTAAAATATTCTGGCTACTATGGAGAAGGGGTCGGGACAACGGGGAGTCAGTGGGTAACACAGCAAGAGCAAAAGCCAGGAGACCAGCAAGGAGATAGTTCAGGGAGAAATGATGGGGGCTTATATTAGAACCATAGCAGAGGATGTAAAAGGAACTGGGTGGTTTCCAGACGGATTCCATTTCAGCACTTTAGATGGACATTTCTGATCGTGGCCATTTCTGAAATGTGCAACTACGTATCGTATGAATTTGGACTTTTGGAGAAACAACAAACCACTCTGAAAAAACACATCTCGAGCATTTCATTTTTTTTTTAAATATTTGTATTCTGAGCTGGTTTCAATGTAACTTTCTTGGGATGCTCTCATGACACTCATTGCTGACCTTTGACCCCTCTGTCCTCTTTCCCAGGTCGTCCCATTCCACCTACATCCTCGTCTAGCCTCCTCCCATCTGCTCAGCTGCCTAGCTCCCATAATCCTCCACCAGTTAGCTGCCAGATGCCATTGCTAGACAGCAATACCTCCCATCAAATCATGGACACCAACCCTGATGAGGAATTCTCCCCCAATTCATACCTGCTAAGAGCATGCTCAGGGCCCCAGCAAGCCTCCAGCAGTGGTAAGGAAACTCTGTGGTGTCTGAATGTGTGGTGTTTCATGAGTGACATTCTTGATTCTCTAGCAAAATGAGAGCTCGGAAACAAGGGCTGGGGAGAAGGTGGTGTGGGGAGCATCAAGGTGAAATGCATTTGTCTTTTTGTGGCATGGCGATTCTAAGTGACTGGAGAGGTTTTGCTTATCTAAACAGGGGTTGGGCTTCCCTCAGTGGAAGGGATTTGCCCACTGCTACTCGTGAGAGCATGCTGATCTCAAACGCAAAGGGCAGAAAGACGCTGGAATGCGGAATTTTATATTACTATGATTCCAGTCATAGCCGAGTGATCCCAGATGCCCTCACATGCCCAATTTGTGTGCGTCTCAGATCCCTTGTTTTTTAATAGTTGGCTTCTGACTTCTTCCTTGCTTGTTTAGATGGTTTTGTGATTAAAACGTGTTCTCTTAACATGAATACTGAATGTCTTGCCAAGACTGAAGTGTTTGGGGAGTGACCTCTCCTCAAACCCTCTGCCGGCGCCACTTCACTCAAATTTAACAAGTTGATCACGTGGTGCTATGGTAAACAGTCCCTCTATATCCATAGTTATCATCTTGGCTTTCACATTTACAGAGCAGACGGATTGGACT